CAGCAACATGAAACAGATCAGCAGCAACATGAAACAGATCAGCAGCAACATGATGTGATTATCCTTGTTAGAGATTTATGAGTCTAACAGTTTCAGGGTAGAAGCTGTTCCTCAGTCTAGTGGTTCTACACTTAATGCTCCTTAATCTCCTGCCTGAGGGGAGCGGGGCAAAAAGTGTGTGTGCTGGGTGAGTGGGGTCCTTCATGATACAGTTGGCCCTCTTCCTGCATCTGGAGGTGTAGATGTCTGTGATGGTGGGGAGACTGACTCCAACAGTCTTCTGTGCAGCCTTCACCACTCTCTGCAAAGCTTTTCTCTCTCCAGCTGTGCAGCCTCCATGCCACACGTTGATGCTGGAGCACAGGATGCTCTCCACTGCACACCTGTAGAAGGAGGTGAGGACTGAGCTTCCCAGACCAGCTCATCTCAGCCGCCTGAGGAAGTAGAGTCTCTGATGAGCTTTCTTAATCAGGCTGGTGGTGATGTTGCCCCAGCTGATGTATAGCTACATACATAAGTGATGGCGCCGTGCAGAGGATGGTCAGCATTGTCAATGATGATAGGAGCTTACTGAAGAACATTTTCTCTGCCATTGATGTAATTGACTCACTGTTCCCAACACAGAACCAGTTTTCCTCACCAGCCTGTCAAGTCGCTCTGCATCTCTCCTCTTAATGCTGCCTCCCCAACATACAACAACAAAGAGGAGGACACTGGCTACCACAGACTGCTAGAACATCAGCAGTAGTTTCCTGTAGATACTGAAGGACCCAAGCCTCCTCATGTAGTAGAGCCTGCTTTGACCCTTCCTGTAGAGGGAGTCCTTGTTCACTGACCAGTTCAGCCTGTCAGCCACTGGTATGCTCAGATATTTGTAGGTCCTGACCACCTCCACATCGCTGTTAACTGATTGAAATGGATTCAATTTGAATAAATACAGCTTAATTTTGACCAAACTGTTGAGCTAGTGGCTAGTCCAAACGTGGTCAAGACCACAGCAGATTTCTGCCTTCTTCAAACAACTCCAGTATCATAAAAAATAATGTGGTTCATGTACAGTAAAATCTGTTATATAAACCTTTACATCGCTCACAGTTTTTCGTTCTATAGTTATTTGCAAATGCAATAAATAAACAAATAAAAATAATGTTTGCCTAAACTGTTAAACCGTTTTGAATCTGGGGTTGTTTTAAGACGTAGCAATCCACTCGGCTTCCCGTTAGCTCAGCAGTCCTGTCAGACTTCAACTCCATGTGTTGTGTCAGTGTTACTAATATTAAAGCTCGTTAACTCCCATCTTGCTGTGTGTCAGGTGGTACCTTGAGAAAAACTGGAGGCTGGGCCGGTGTTGACGCTGAAGCGGGTGGTGGCCACTCTGAGGGTGCAGACATTCTTCTGTGGCTGGAACAGAATGATGTGGATTTTTGGAGCAAAGAGACACCCCAGCACCACTGACCCGCTGAGACTGACAGAGATGCACATAGTGGTAGTCTGCACCTAGGATGAAGAACAGAGGAAAAAATATTACTGTCAACAATTTCTGATTGTTAGGCTTCTTCAAGCCCATGAATTTAGCAAGCTTACACACATTAATTAAAAATTATCACCGATAAATATAAACGCATTTATTCTATTTCTGTGCACGTCTCAAAACAGAGCAGCTTTGGTGAAATGATTTTACGCGCAGAAAACCATATCCTTACTGGCATAATATTGAGTCCTGCTTCAAGAATATTAATTTTTAGGAAAGAGTGGGCTCCGCTGAGTGTAAAATAATTTAAAAACACCTTTTTCATCGTTCAGCGTGAAGCCAACTGTAACGGAGGAGGCAGGAATTTGTTAACAACAGAGTCTTTAAACAAGGCGGCGTAAGCAAAGCGTTTGCTTGTCAATCACCCGTTTACCCTTCAATACTTCTTGCCTCACCTTGTTTGTGTTGCTGCTGTGTTCAGCCTTCTCCATCATTTCCAACCCTTCCACAGCATTTTTTTTTTTTTATCACCCTCTTTAATAAGAGGGTACACAGCTCAGTTTTGGTTTCTGGCAAGAGCGTTTCTTTTTCACAGCAGGTGTTTGTCATCACCCTGAATGTTAATGCTGGTATGAAAAATATGTGAGGACAGAGTGTTAGGCTGTGCACAAACTGTTCTGCCATGACGGTAACATTAAGTAACAGAAGCTCTGCCTGTAGAATTTGATTTAACTGAGTTTTTCTGAAATATTTAAAGATTTGGAGACTCAGATATTATTTCTTGGACTCATCTATACTTCTTAAAATCATCATTGACAAATGTGAATTAAAAATGAATTAGGAATACCAAGGCTGTTCATATTTTACTAATATTTTTTATAATATCTGTAAGTCTTGGACAAGCAGTGCCCTCTCCTTTTTACGTTCGTGCTACAGGACTTGTGGTTCTGGGAAGCTCCTTGTTTTTAGCTCCTGTCTCTGAAAAGCTTTTTCCCAGCATGAGGGGATCCATTTGTGACAAAACTGGTCTAGACATCCATCTAAGTGACAAACTATACTTGCATTCTTAATGTTAACCCTAAAATATGAATGAAACATGTCATTTTTATGCAATGATGAGGACCTGGGTTTATATAGTCTGTACGCAGCTGAGGAATTATAATGTGATTTTGACTTGCTGGCTGTGGTGCAAATATTATCAGAAAAAAATCTTTGCTTTAAAAATCTTAAGTCAGAAGAGGCTGTTTAGTTGGCAGATAATATGATTTACTTTCACAAACGCCAACATCGTGTTGTATCGCCATCATCAAAGTCAAACTGATTCGTTTTGTTTTTTTTCTCTGTTTTAATATATCATTATTTAAATAGTGGAGTTTGACCAGTTCAAATAATTTCCAGTTCGTTTTTTTCTTATTTCCTATTTGTGCAAGCATGGTTTGTCCGTGGGTGCCCCGGGGGCTCTGTCGCCTCTCAACAAGAATGTTGCAGGATCAGATCTAGGTAGAGTTTACATGTTCTCCGTCCGCATGTGTGGATTTTCTCTCTGGTTTCCTCCCATAAACCGAAACATGCTTAAATACTTTTTTTTTTTAAACATCTATCCTTCTATTCTGTGGCTGAAAACATTTAGCTTCTCATTCGGGAGGCTGTATCAATTCAAAAACATATCTGGAGTGTGCAGCGTTCCAGGCTTTATAGAACTGCATGAGAGGCTGTGTTATGTACCAGATTTGCATGCAGATTAGATTAAAACTACTCTCCCCTCGCAATAGAGAGCGCTGCTTAGGCTCTTTGTTTGCCTGGTTCAGAAGAGAGACGTTTTGGTCTCATGCTTGTTGGTGTGAATTCAAGTGGAACTGACTGGAAATCAGGTTTAATGCTGCTGTAGGTGTTGAAAGTTTGAATCTAGGTACATAAAGTACGTGTGGGTTTTCTCCAGGTATTTGGGAGTCCTCCCACTGACCAAAAACATGCATGTTAGGTTAACTGGTTACTCCAATTTTCTATTTGTCCCAGTGATGGACTTGCAACCTGTCCAGGGTGTACCACGCCTCCATGTAGTAATCAGTCTTCATGTGACTGGTCATTAAAGAGACAGCAAGAGATAGTTTTTATTATCCTAGAAGTCTGATTGATATAATTACAGGGATGTGTTCGAGAGTCCTTGGCCTTCCAGGTTCCTTCCCACTTCTGACTGCAGCTGGTTTCTGATGAGCTGGACTGGGTGGGGAGGGACTGGGGGCTAACAGCTGGAAGTTTCTACAAAACTGATGCTTTTTCTTTTCAGGAAGGCAGAACGGGTCAGAGCCTCAGACAGGTTGACATTGATGTGTAAATGCATTGATCTTCTGTGATTGCTGGCTGTTCTTCAAAGCTTTGTAAATAAATATGATGGAGTCTACACCTGGTTGTTTGGGGAATCTCTTTTTCCACGATAGGATGGAAGGGTTTGTTGGCTAGAAAAATCCAAGGGAAGGAAAATAGCTGAGTTCTGAATACATTACTGATGAAGTTTATATTTTATGTATTTTTTTAATGTCGCATTGTTAAAGCCATCTGCAAATGTAATGATAAAAAACTCAGACTGAAACAACTGCCATTGAATTTTTAGCTGTGTCTTCAGAGTGGTGTGGTTGTAACATCAAGATTCATCTCATGACACCTTTGAAATCCTTTAAACGCTGCGTACTTTAAGCAGGTTCTTGGCTGAGCCTTTTGATTCTTTATGTGTTTGCTGTATATCTGTGCATGAAATCATGGACTATGACAAACATATTGAGCGTAATAATCTTTGCAGTACTCTGAAAAACTAAATGTTTTTTTTGCTAATTCTTCATCGGGTTTAAATAAAACCCCTGGACAGTGCTGCACAGAAATGACCTGTTAAGTGGTTTTAATAATTCACAAGGTGTTTCTTTAGAGGAGCAGAGTACCCGAAGTCAGCCTGTCCTCACATATTTTTCCAGATGTGTGGAGTAAGTGTGAAGAGCAGGATGCAGGGTGGAAGATGACTGCTGCAGCTTCTGCTTGTCCACTGTTTCTGTAAGCCAACATTTTAAATATTTTATGTTACAAATACAACTCTGATTTTAATTATGCAGATAATTATACTGTTTGCATTTTTTTTTAAATCACACAGTCACTTACAAATTCCTTTTCTTTTTTTGAGACTTGTGCTATAAAGCCAAGCCCTAGTTTAGCCACAATGGGACATCATTACTAATCTTTCATGACAAAATATTATCCTGCTGGAGTCCCCTAAAGTTAGCAAGTGAGCCTAACGGATGTAACAGGGTCATGATCTAGGACAAATCTGTTTCAGTGGCTAGCTTGTTTAATATAATGGTTTACACATGCAGTATTCTGTGTAGTCTTCTGTGATTTTAGAGAAATGCTGTAAATTTTGACCATGAAAGCTGTTTAATTTGTTATGTTTGCTCCTGAAATGAGATGGCCAGCAGTCGCATCAAACGAGATCCCAGGAAGCAAGGAACATCTTCAATATTTTATATGATAATCGAAGCCATTGTTCATGGCTCAGTGAGTCGCATTTAGCCTGGTTTAGTATTTCATGGCTGACTACAATCAAATTGTTGTCCTCTAGCCTGAAGATTTGCGTCGGGCTGCAGCAGCAATTTAAGAAGTGATGTAAAAACCAGGAGAACACGGGTAATATGTCACTGCATGCGAAAAACTAGAGACACTTGGCCAACTGAGTTGCTTCTGTTAATTATTCATCGGTCAAAGGGGAGCGTTGCCTCCATCTAATGAGTCCATTCAGGCTGCGAGTTGTGTTGCCTAAAGGGGCTGGAGGAAGGGTTCCTCTGAGCATCACTAAAGTCCCAGGACGGCGGGATCACAGCTGGGATTCAGCATCCCAGTCTTTCACACTCCATTCCACACAGCTAGGCGCAGGGACACACAGTCGTTCAGTCCTCTGTCAGCGCTCATGGTCCTGCCTGCTGTTTCCATGCTGCTGCAGAGGCAGCTGTGTCAGAACGCTGCTCTGCCTGTTCCTCCCGTCTGTTTCCCTCTCGTTGCAGGCTGGTCAGTTCCCAGAGGGGTAATCTCTTATAAATAAGGCCAGCCTTTTGCACTTCTATCAATTCAGTTTATGGCCATATGTTTATTTATTATTCTATCTAAATGTCTGCTTGGCTTTGTCTTGATCCAGATGGATTTATTTTGGAAATAAAAATACACAGATTGATAATTATTTATTATCCGTTGTTTGACGTATGCAATCACTTTCACCAGACTTGTTTATGTAAAGTCATTTAACAACCTGTTCTTTATGATTTGTAGAGAAAAATTTAAATGATTTATTTGCTGCATCCAGAGCTAAGTTTACATGCTACTAATGCAACTTCTAATAGGTGAAACCTGTTAGGCAAAGAAAAAAAAATACACATTTATTATACTTTTATTATGGTTGTAGAAATCTAACTGCAGCTTTTATCTAAATCTCCTTACAAATAAAAGAAATGCAATTTAGATTTTGAATTAAGGAAGTCATTTTGAACTCGGTCAATACTTATACATTGTTATCTGTTATGTTAAATTAACTTGTATATTGATCTGATTTAGTGTGACAAAGTATAGTCAGTACTACTTTTTCAAAAACACTGTTATGTTTGCTCTCAACAAGTTGTGTTTTAGGCACATAAAACTGTAATGTTCAGAAACTCCTGACAGTATCGTGCCTGGATTTTGATCACCATATTTTCCGGTGTATAATTTGCAGGGTTTTTTGCATAGATTTGTCAGTTCTGCGACTTATAAGCTGAAGCGATTTATATACGATTTTTTGTTTTTCAATATTCATAAAGGGGAGTGGTGGCGCAGAGGTTAGAGAAGGTGGGCCTGTGATCGGAAGATCACCGGTTCAAGCCCCGGTACCGACAACATCAAAAATGAGGGTGGGGTAGCTGAAGCACCCACACCTGGCCCCACCCTCATTCATCCTACTTTGGGCCCTTGAGCAAGGCCCTTAACCCCCACCATCTGCTCCTCCGGGTGTCCTAGATAGCAGCTCTCTGCTCCACACAGAGGGCTGTGGTAGCTCAGTGGTCTGTGGATGTGTCAGGAAGGGCATCCGGCGTCAAAAGAACTGCCAAGTCTTTGTGCGACTTAGTTCACTGTGGCGACCCCTAACGCAGGGAGCAGCCGAAAGAAAAAAATACAAATAAAAAAGAATGCAATTTTTGACTGATGCTTTAAATTTCTAAGAACTACAACAGCAACTCCTCCCATGCGCACTTGCTTCACTCAGCTGGCGCAGGAGAAGGAACACTGGAGAGCTAGCAGCTCCGGCCGTGATGGATGGATGGATGGTACCGCACTGCCCAGGCGGAATGAAGCTGTTTTGACCATTAAATAAATGCATAATAAACGCAGCGGGTCAGTGGTGACACATAATAAATGAGACTTATATATGTTTATTCCTCTTCATGATGTTTTTTTTTGACTGATGCGACTGATGCGACTTATACTCCGTAAAATACGGTAGTTATTGATAACTGAAGCATAACAGAAAGACAACCCTGTATCTTTACAAATCTTGACTGAATAATGATGAATCCTCATCCACACCATTGTCCAGTCTTTGAACTAGAGGTAAGTCTTTAGCTAATTTAATGGCAAAATCTTACAGAAAAACAAAATACTGTTTCTAAACAGACAGTGCAACAACAGCACGTGCGCTACAGACAAGTTGATATTATTTCAAGTTTTACAAAAAGTTAGTGAGTCTCACCTTTTAACCTGTGAGCTTCAAGCCCATACTGATTTGCAGACTTGCATATTTTAGAATGATTTACACAAACTGGCTAAAAAAATGTTCTTTAGTATAATCAGCTATAACTGACCAACACTGTTTTCAAGAAGTGTTTCCTCCACTCAACATAAGCGCTACGTGTTGTCATCATTGTATGTTCCCATACAATGGTGAAATTAGTTATCTGCATTTAACCCATCACACCTGAGATACACTCAGGTGGAGCAGTGGGCAGCTGTGTGTCCTGCTCAGAGACACCATGACATGTGGGAATGGCTGGAGTTTGAGCCTGGGGCTTTCGGGTCCCAGGTCGGCTGCCCTGCCTCTACCCCATCTCAGCCCCTAGCACCTTTAGTAGTTTTTAAATCAAACTACTTCTCACTGAAGATGTTTTTTGCCTCTTCTTATAGATGTCTCCTTCACAACAGTTGTGGGTTTGTGTTGTCGGACTCATTTTTGGTACATCATAACTCCCGCACATACACCTGCACCACAAACAGCTGGCCCCTGACAGTTAAGAAAGGTGTGATGATGAGTTGTTCGCATATGTTGGCTTATTATCTTTTGTTTTTCTAACTTCTGGCATTTATCAGTTAACGCACTCAGACGTGAGCCACAGTCAACGCATTCTGGACATGCAGAACAGGCACTGCACTGATTCATTCAAAATTCAAAATCCACCACAGAGAAAGTCATTATCTGCAAGGATGTATTCTTCCCAGGTTTTAAGAACCTTGAGCACTCTGAACAAATAATTTATTACAAATGATAACCACAGCATGTGGTGTATGGCATGTAAAAACTTATCTTTCACAAAAAGGACAGCTTGAGAAAGCTCACGCCGCCTAATTTAACTTACCCTGTAGTCACTGGCAGTAACATAGAAAATGGGTTGGAAAGCCAGCCAGATGATGCAGGTGGTGTACATCGTAAACCCAATGAACTTGGCCTCGTTGAAGTTCTCTGGGCATTTGCGGGTCTTAAAGGCGTAGACTGTGCAAAGGATAATGAGTATGCAGTTGTAGGTCAGAGACATGAGCATGCTGGAGTCCTTGCTGTTACACTTGAGGGTGACCACGTCTCTCTTCTCCGGACTCACTTCTTTTCTCACACCTGGAGTCTCTACCAACAACCAGACCACCACCACTACCAGCTGGCAGGAGATCAGAGCACCACAAATGGCAACCTGGGAGGCTGGACTGATAAACCGAGGCCTCTGAGCTCCATCCTTCACACCACTGAAAATCCGAGCTATACGGTTGGTCTTGGTCAGGAGGGCTGAGTAGCATACAGCAAACGAGGTGCCTAAGCCTAACCGGCGCAGTGTACATACTGCGGTGGACGGCTTGGCAATGTAGATAAATGTCATGCTGTAACACATCAGCACTCCCAGCAAAAGAATGTAGGAGAGCTCACGTCCACTGGCCTTCACCACAGGTGTCTCATTGTGTTTAAGGAAGAGGCCGATGACGAACAGTGTACTCATCATCCCTAGGCAGGAAATGGTGACAGGTCCAATGGCCCAGGCATCTTCCCAATGGATGTACTCCTCAGGCAAGTCGTAACAGCCTGTGAGATTTGCTAAAGGCCACTGTCCAAAGCTGCAGTCAGCACAGGTGAACTCATCTTGCAAGTACTGGTAGGACTGGCACGGAATACAAATCCAGCAGCACACATCGCCTGGCTGCATACTCTTCACCTCATTCTTCCTGCAAGGGTCACTACACTGGGAGGGAGGCACAACTTGTCCAGCCCAGGGGATCAGGCTGGTGTTCAGGGTCAGGCTTTGAGCCCAGTAGCCGACACTACGGTAGACATATCGTCCGCCTTCTTTGTGGTAGTGGAAAATATTGTAACGGCCGACGCTGTCTCCAAAGGCATCAAAACAAATTACATTCTCTGTGTCAGGGGGTCGAAACGGTGCTGAAAAAGATAGAGAAAAAAGGACTGGAAGTGTTATCAAATAACAGCTGTTTGCAGGTTTATAACGTAAATAATCACACATTAAAAATATGATAGAAAAATACATATATTTATTTTTGTAGTAGCTTGAGTATGAATTTGTGTGTTGCAGAGAACTTGAAAATACTACATGCTCTGATTGGAAAATCCACATTTGATAAACCGTAATATGTATTCCTATCTAACTATGACCAGAAACAAATATAAGTCTTTATTTTGTTATATTTCAGACAAAAACTAGTTTCAGACTTAAGTCGTTGTTGAGTTTTGGACAAAATGAAAAATAAAATAACTCCATGTTTAAAAAGTTCTGCAAAATGGTGAGCATTTCTGGTCAGAAATCTGCTGAGTTAACTATGAATTGCTGCAACAAACAATTATTTTGAATGTTGGTAAATCTAGAAATGTATATGCATTCATCTTTCCCTCTGCCTCAACCAGTTTACTAGTTATTTTGTTAAAAATATCTCTCAGAAGAATAATGCTACTAATATCAGATTAAAAATGGTTAATAAACAGGTACTCTGTTGATTGTTTCTTCCACAAACACACAGAGAGCTGGGAAGGGAGGAGGGAGAGGCAGAGGGAGGTTGTGCCTTCCTACCACCTCGGACCTCTACACATCACGAAACAGGGGGAAGCGTTCTGCATCATGAAGGACTCCACTCATCCTGCACACCGTCTGTGCCCGCCCCCCCCCCCCCCCCCCAACCACCACCACCACCCTCAAGCAGGTAGCTGAGGAGCATTCAGTGAAGCTGTCAGACTGCTGAACTCGAGCTGCACTTAATGCAGCTTCTTTTTTAATTTACTTTATTTATTTACACGTGCACGTGCGCACACACATCCCCACGCACATATATACAGTATACTTGTGTGTGAGGCTATTTCTGAAGCTTACAGTTCATCTGGACTGGATCCTCCAGAGAATCTCAGCACATTCCACCAGAGGGTTTTCATTCTCCATGGCTCTGCATGGAGTGATGACAGTGGAGGATATTTGTATGGCATCCCCATGTTCAATTATTTGTTTTTATCTACATGATGTTTTTATTTTACTTCTCCATGACCCATTCTGTTCTCAGGGTTCTGACAGAATGATTATTTGTTTCATGGAGCCTCACTTTTGAGCTCACACCTGCCTGCATGCAATCGCAGTGTGAGATATTTATTATCAGTCACAAGTTCATGACTGCTGATTTTATTGTTATTAACCTGTTCATCTTGAGGAGCTGTTGGTCTGCTCTGTTCATCGTTACACTGTTACAATTCGTATCCTCCGTTGTTCCTATTCACAGCAGCAGGTCTGCTATCTCAGCCTTTTTTTCCTCACCAGAGATCTTCTCTGGTGCGCTCCTGCGCATGGAGCAAGCAATTACGCAGCATGTAATTACGCACTGAAGGCTGAGTGATTAAATGTTTTTTTTGTGCAAGCAGGTTCTTCATGTTGTGTCTGAATGGACCCAGTGGGGCATAGACTACATCCTGCTTTGCCTTTAACCCACTAGCGACAGCCTTAAAGGGCGAAGCCTATACGAAATAGAAGGTTGAATACGTACTGTAACCCCAGATTCTATGAGTGTAGGCGTAGCCTTTTAAGCTCTGGGCCTCACTGTTTCCTAAATGGCTGAAGAAAAAAGCTATTTGGGAGCCGATTACCTGGTCTCCGTAATTTATACGGACCGGGAGTGAGGCCCACACAGCAGGTGGGCGTGGACTAAAGTTTTCAGTGCTGCACTGCACGCGTACGGATAAACCCACTAGCGACAGCCTTAAAGAGCTACGCCTATACTCATAGAATCTGGGGTTACAGTACGTAACCAACGTTTTAAAATGTACACAAAGTGTGTTGGTCCAGCTCTTTTAGATCTTAAGGGTGTAGTGACTGACAAATTTAAAACCTCTGATCCTCTCTTGACCTTTATATAGTAAAAGCCTTTTGATTGTTGTGTTTTTAGAAATTGCAAAGAGCAGAAAAGCACAGCTGGATAAGAGCACAGTGAACCCTCTTTATTTTCCATCAGTGAATAGGTCAGTTTAAAAAAAAATGTTTTTAAGAATAATCAAAAGCTGGTACAAAGATGTATGAGCATTTGAATTAGGAGGTCTGTCATTGACCATGTGGAAGAGTTTATGCAGTTACAGCACACTGTCTTATTTTACACTGAAGCTTTAAGTAGAAAAGCGGAAAACAAACACAGTTTGTGTGATGAAGGTCCGCAGCATTCAAAGTACTGTACTGGAACTATTAACGCACGCAAAGCGCAAGAATGTGGACATAGCTTAATCTTGTCTAAGTGATCAGAACAAAAAGCATCTGCAGCAGTGTAAATATGTATAATTACTTTACTATTGTTTAAACATTGTACAAACTGGTGAATTTAGTAGTAACCTGTTTTGGCATCTTGTGTAACTGAATAAAGTTACATTTCCCTAAAGACACATATATAGTAAAACTAAATCTGATACAGTTATGTCAAGCAGACATTTCTATTCAGTGGCTAAGTATTTATTTTAGTATAGTGTGCAGCACAGTGATTACAGTATTCGTTCAACAAGATTGAACTCACCATCAAACTTGACCTTAAGGATGTAATCCCTGTAAAACTTCCGTCCATTGCCAGGTTTAAGAGCGTCACACACCTTGGTGGAGTTGGGGCACAACGCTTGCCTCATGTTGTGTAAGGCAGTAGCCATCGCGTAGACAGCATTCATCACAAACATGATCTTCGATTCTGGTTGAAATGGAACTTCACGAAGAGAGTGTTTCCCACAGCCGAGGTCGTGGAGACTGCACTGGAACTGGTTTTCCCAAAATTCCCTGAACCACGGATCCCTGGTGTTGTTATACGGATGCAGAGCAGTGAAGTATTCATTAAAGTGAGTGATCTGATAGGAAGCAAGTTCAATGGTGAAAGCTCCATCTGCCACAGCTTCACTTCCCCTCACCACACTCTCCTGTGCCCCCCAGCCATCACTGGCCACCCAGGTGAAGGTGACATTCATGCGATTGGCTGCCACCAGCAGCTCACGGGCATCTTCGCTGCGTGTGAACAGGATGACCACCTTAGCGTTGGACTTTTGCTGAAGGGAGCGGATTACATTCTCATAACTCCAGCGGCTCATTGAACGGCTCACCTTGGCTGAAGTGGCAATGCAGATCTGTCGGGCCCGAGCCTCTTGTTGGAAGGCATCTATACCAGTCTCACCATAGTCACCTTCTGAGGCCACTGTTGATACGTATGTCCAGTTGAAGTAGCGCAGGATCTCTGCCATGGCCTTGGCCTGGTAGAAGTCGGGGGGCACGGTGCGGGCGAAGTAGTCATATCGAGTCTTGTCACTTAGCTTGGCACTCGTGGAAGCATAGCTGATCTGAGGGATTTGGAAAAGCCGCAGCAGGTTCGCCACCTGGCAAAAGGAAAACAAAACCACAATGTAGGTCACCGTCATTTAAATTAAGCTTTGTTAAAGTTCAAACAGTTTCAATTGCTGATGCCAATTTTTAGAACACAGGGTAACTGGTTTATGAGCTCAATTTGTTTTTGACCCATAAATATAATGATTTAAAATTCATATGCTGTATAATGTCCCAAGTTCTAAAAAAGAAGAACAAAACTCTAACAATGCTGATTTTTTTATATTTTTTTAAATAGCAACAATAGGCTAATTAGTCATCCAACTGCTCAGTTGGCCTCTACTTTGCACAGCTGCAAGAAACAACCGTGACTGAGTTCGTTATGTATATCATTATACAAAATGTTAGCGATCTTAGAAACATGTTACCGGCGTAGGGTCACACAGCAAACATATACCTGCCAAAGGTTAGAAACGTTGTTGGCCATCTTTAAATAACTTCATGAAACTCACTACACTTGTCTTTCTTTTCTCCTGCTCAGACATCATTTGGTTTATTTTATTTTTTATTAAATCCCTACTGTGTTCTTTACATCTACCACCCCCACACACACTCCTACCCCTCCTGCATTAAACAATATTTTGGGAGCTTGCCTATTTTCCTGATCCTTTGTGACATAAAAAGTTTTAATAAAAACCACTGTACACTTTGCAGAAGATCATTACCACGGGTGCTGCTTAGAATAAACGGAACATTCTCCACTGAAAAAAAAACATTTTCTAAAGTTCTTGCTCTGCTTTAAAGGGAAGAAAGCTGGAAGAAATAGAGTCAGGGGATGTTGAGGGCAGTGTATAGGGATGGAAAAGGATTGGAATTATCAAAGAATCTTGAAACTTTGCAGTTTCTCTGTAATAGCTTTTGTCGATGTTGTGACACTGCTGGCAAGGTGAAGAAGCTACTGACTAGTTCTGCTTCAGGCACTTTTGTGGGTGCCTAAGGGGAGCCAGTCTCTTAATTCAAAGGAGCACTAACCTACAGTTGACTTGAAGACGTCTCGCAGACGAGCACACATCCAGCACTACATTCTGAATGTCAACGAGGCATCGCTGAGAAAGTTAGGACGGAAAATACCATTTGAATATTATTTCTGCTCTGAATTTTTTAGGCGAACGCCACTTTTCTTAGGTTAGAACTGTTTAACAATAATTTTATGTCAACAGGAAAAAATTAGCATTTTAAATGTTGTTTTAAATGTTTTTTGCTGTGATGTGTACAAGCTTGTAAAACAACTTGAGGAAATTCTTGGCAATTAAATCTTTTTTCAGCTATTAATAAACACAAGTATTAATAAATTGTTTATTATTTTTATTATTATTTAGTAATTTATTATTATGATCATTTTTATTCTGATATTTATTACTGATCATTTCTTTATTTTATTATTCAGATAACTATTAACAGATTTATTAATAATTTATTAGTTTATTATTCTGATAATTATTATGATTCTGATTTATTATTAACAGGGGCAGCGCATCTTAGAAGCTGCAGCCCCCTGTACACTTCTGTCCATTTTTAGGATGGCTGTATGAGAAGTAATTTTGCTGTACTTCACTGTGCAAGGATCATAAAAGTATTCTGATTCTGATTATTTCAGTGGAAGGGAAACACTGCCTTATTTTACAGAAAAATATTTGGAAGGTGTTTTGCATGATTTATGATTAACATCTTTATAAAAGCACTCGTTCATTGATTTGATGAAATATTTGAAGGTTGCTTCACAATGTTTAAAAGGAATTTAAGTTTATTTAATAATCATATCTCACCATGGTTGTCTTCTTGATCCATTTTTTGTTCATGGCACTCTTTGATAGGACCGCTGTCCAGTTAAAATAGTCACTGGTTTATTTTCAGTTTTAATGCATCTTGTCATTTTTGACAAGTTGAAGTATTCATAACTGAAAGCCTAGTTCTTAAATCAAACCAGAATTGGTTCTGTTTTATTTCAAGGTTTATATTAAGTTGTTTTGGGGCTTTTGTTTGCACAAAACATGTTGCATTTATCTGTTGAGAAGAAACCAGAACAGCATGGGATTTGTCTCTTCACTGACAAACAGTTGTTGAAAGTTTCTTGAATGTTCCTTTTGGGCAGCACCGACTTTGTTCTGTAGTATTTGGAAAAACTAAACGTGACAGGTCAGAGAAGCAAAAAGGTCAAATCTTTCCTCATCCAGAAAAAGGTGGAATGCTTCCTCCAGTGAGTTAGGGCTGAGTCTTTGTCTCAGGTTAAGGAGTTCTCAGAGTCTTGTTCAAGACTTATGAAAGGATGGAGAGGGAGATGAATTGACAGATCAGGACTTCATCCTCAGTCATGAAGTCCATTGACATTCCAATCCTCACCCATGGTCACAAGATCATCATCATGACCAAAAGAACAAGACCATGGAAACAAAATGATTTAATGGGATGGTGTAATATGATGATATGGTTTATATCTTGTGTAATTCCTTGTGCATGTTCCTTTGCACTGAAACTCTGGCACAACAATTTCCTGCGGGGTCAATAAATTCTATCTTATCTTATCTTATCTTATCTTATCTTGTATTATCTTGTGTTGTATCTAGTGTTCTGAAAAGTCATAAAGCAAAAACAGGTATTTCACAATATTTTTTGAAGGATGACAATGAGATCCATGATGAAAATGAAATTGTAAATGGATTTAATCATCATTTTGTGAACGTTGGATCAAGCATGGCAGCTAAAATACCAAAAGTAGACAATAATGTGAACCATTCAGTTATAGGTTGTGACAACAGTATTTTTCTTAATGGAACTGACAAAGAAGAAATAATGAATGTAATTAAAAATCTTACAGATAAGAGATCAAAAGACTGGGTGGACATGGATATGATGTTTGTAAAGGACATAATGAGTTATGTTATCGAGCCGTTTACATATATTTGTAATTTATCATTTTCAAAAGGAATATTTCCAGACAATATGAAAGTAGCTAAGGTAGTTCCTCTCTTTAAAAATGGTGATAAATGTATGTTCAATAATTATAGACCAATATCCTTATTACCACAGTTCTCAAAAATTCTAGAAAAACTATTTGTGACCAGATTAGATAAATTTATTACTAAACAAAACATTCTAAGTAGTAGCTAGTATGCGTTTAGAGCAAAAAACTCTACATCAATGGCTCTCATGGAAATAATAAAACAAATAACTACTGCTGTCGATCAAAAACAGTATTGTGTTAGTATTTTTTGTTGATTTTTAAAAAGCATTCGATACTATTGACCACACTATTCTCCTTGAAAAATTAAATAAATATGGTATAAGAGGACCAGCATTACACTGGGTATCTAGCTATTTAAAAGATAGGAAACAGTTTGTACAAATAAATGGTGTAAGAGCTGACCTCTGCAATATCACGTGTGGAGTTCCTCAAGGCTATGTACTTGGACCAAAGTTATTTATTTTATATGCGAATGACTTAATGAATGTATCAGGACTCCTCAAATGTGTCCTTTTTGCAGATGACACCACATTTTTTTGTTTGGGTAAAGATGTAAAACGGATGTTGGAATTGATGAAGACAGAATTTGATAAAATACAAACTTGGTTTAAACTTAATAAATTATCATTAAATTTAGATAAAACTAAATACATGATGAAGTTAATGCAATGAATTTTTTGGGTGTATTCATTGATGAACAGCTAACATGGAAAAATCACATAAATTCTGTAAGAACAAAAATATCTAAATCTATTGCAGTACTATACAAAGTCAGAGAATTGTTAAATGATAAAGCTCTGTACATGTTGTATAACACAATCGTTGTTCCACATTTAATCTATTGCATTGATGTTTGGGGGAAAGCGTGTAAAACATTTACAAAGCCTATTTTTATTTTACAGAAAAGAGCTGTAAGAATTATCACCAGAAAGCATTACAGTCACCCATCAAGTACATTATTTTATCAACTGAAGTTATTGAAGTTCCATGATTTGGTAGATTACAGTATTTTAACAGTTATGTATAGGGCTCAAAATAACACATTACCATTAAATATCCAAAGAAATTTTGTTAAAAGACAAAGTTGTTACAATCTTAAGGGGATAGAGATATTTGTCAAACCAAAATTCAGAACTAGTCTGAAGGGAAGGTCTACCTCAATCCAAGGAATTGGATTGTGGAATGGTCTAGAGAGTGATGTTAAAAATGTCAAGTCAATGTGTACATTTAAGAAAAAGATCAAAGCTGAATTGTTAAAAAAATATATATGAAGTAGCTTAGTGTGGTTTTTGTATTTGAATTAGAAAAATTAGAAAGAGTTATTCATTTTGTTCTGTTACTTGAAAATTATTATGATTGAACTAATTGTTTGAAAAAAGGGGCAGATATAATACGAATTTTTTTTTTCTTTCTGCTGCCTTTCATTTTAAATCTTTTGTATTTTTTTATATTGTTATGGAATTGTTTTTTTTTTTTTAATGAATAAACTTTATACCATACCATACCATCTTATATTATCTTATCTTATCTTAAACCTTATTGCCAGGGTGAAAGAACCATCATCTGGGGTGAGCTTGAAGTGGAGCTGCTTCCTCAACATCTATAGGAGTCACATGAGCTGGTTTGGGCATCTGATGCCTCCAAGTTGCCTCCCCTTGGAGGTTTTCTATTCAAGTCTCACCTGAAGGAGACCACAGGGCAGACCAAAAACTTTCTGGTCTGGGAACATTTTGTGATCCTCCAGGAGGAACTGGACAGTGTCGCTGGGGAGAAGGAGGTTCGGATTTCCCTCCTGGACTTTTTCCTTCAGCAACTCAACAATGTCTAAGTGAAATAAATGGATGGATGGATGGATGGATGGATGGATGGATGGATGGATGGATGATGGATGGATGGATGGATGGATGGATGGAAAAGTGTCAAATCTGGTTTTAGTTTGAATGTTGTTTTTCCAGAACAGCTGATCAACAGACTTTAAAATTACAATAAATCAGTGAACTGTTTTGTGATTTAAACCATGAGAAGTTTATT